CAGCCCGAGACACGTCTTTCGCCCTTACAGACTCATCAGCTGGTCAGAACCCGTCGTCTGTCGATCTTTTCAAAGTCAGTTCTCTCGGGAGCCTTACACTCCTTATATATAGTTATCGACGACGTACGCTTTACACTGTATGTCAGGTGAAACATTCATCTAACACAGAGTGTTTTCGCACTCGATTGCTAGCTGGCTGGTATTTTTTATCATATTATACATTTCCTTCGACTGCTTTATTAAGACCACGATTAAATTTCAATAGATCCTCTCATTTTTTATTTGAGCCTCAGGAGGAATAAAGCACTCGAAGGAAAGATTCTATAGTACTTTTACTTCGAGCAAAGGATAAAGCGTAAAGTTCTCGGCCTTAATCAATCCCTGAGGAGCGCGCCGTTCGTTCGTCTCCGATTTTTAGCCTCGTCGTATCGGCTCAGGGTTGCTTATCCCTCCCAAACATGTCTGTTACTAATTACCGACTCCGCAGGGATGGAAGGCTTGATGGAACATCATTGCAAGACTGAACCATTTGCATTATGTGCGACGTCAAGCACCTCTAACCATTGCGCTACATGCGCTACTCTGTCAACAGCACCTCAAAATTATCGCACCGATCAAAAATTAGAGAGCAGCGGAATGCTCTTCAGATATTATGCCGCCACATTTACTATCCTTATATCATATAAAGCTTGCACGAGGTCTGCATCTTCTTAAATAGCTAACGTCTCGCCGATTTCGCCTTCCTCAGAGCCTAAACGTACTAAACATTATATTTTTCTGCGGGACTTTTTTTATTTAGATATATCTATGGCATTATACCACTGTTGAAAGCGGTCAAATAAAAAGAATTCTGTTTAATCATCTAATACCCAACATCTCTGTTAGCGTGACTGAGTTCGATGTCGATATCGACTGCTCAAGCCAAACCTTTAACGGTTGATTTCTAACAGGAAAGGTGCGTTTTAGCATAGAAAGAGTGGTGGCAAAACGGTAGTTGGTGCAAGGGGACTAGAACACGCGTCTCCGGATAGGGTGAAGCGTTGGTTCGAGTCCTGCTCGACGCAAAAGTTTTGCTCTAACTTCACATCATTGGATGTGTCTATAACACTAGACTTTCACTGCATATAGGAAATACGAGCAAAATCGACAGGAATTCTTGATCTGTCGTTTATTTTAGCAATGATATGACATTAGAACCATATATCTAATAACTGTGGACTATGAGAAAGCATTTGATAGCGTCGAAACGAACGCAGTCCTATCAGCGCTTATCAATCAAGGAGTGGATCCGTCTCACATAGGAATCTTATCAGACTTTCATCGGAACTGCACCACGAAAATACAGCTCTTTCATCGACCTCTGATCAAACCCATTAGAAAAGGGGTTCGACAAGGCGATACGACATCATCAACGCTCTTCACCGTCGCACTGCAGTGGATAATGAAATACTTGATTGGGATCAAAAGGGAATACGTGTCGATGGGAAGTCCCTATCAAACGTTCGTTCCGCGAATGACAATGTCTTATTTTCGAAAAGCACGACTGAAGCAAAGACGATGCTCAAGGAACTTAACGAAGCGGGGAAGAAGATCAGACTACGCATAAATCGCATGAAGACCCAGTTCATGAAAAACTAGTGGCGCAATAATGAACTTATCAAATATCAAATATCAAATATCAAACTGGAAAGATCTTAAATTACAGAGACCTCCTCGTACGTGTGCCCTGGTGGTTCACTGAGTATGGAGAACAATATGAAGGAGCATATTGACATGAAAAGGAAAGCAGCGTGGGCCGCATTCGGGCTTCTCAAAGAAGCCACCGACCAAATAACGGGCCCCAAATTACGCGCTGAACTTTTTGATTCAACAGTACTCCCAGCACTCTGCTATGCAGCGGAGACGTGGATTGATACTTCGACCACGTCAAGACTACTGCGAACAACTCACGGAGCGCTTGAACGATGTCTTCTGAAAATCCGTCGGCACTCACAACACCTAGCTGGCTTGCGCAGCTCAGATTTCAAAAATTTATCTCATCTTCATGATCCCGAAGAATTCACATCGATAGCGAAGCACAGATGGACCGGTCATATAGTAAGAAGAACGTCAGTTGGACGAAACGAACTGTAGAATGGACGCTACAAGAATTCACCCGTCCCCGAGGACGACCACCTACACGTTGGGCGGACGTGTTCACTAGAAATATTAACCTGCTGTATTCATCACTATATCCAATCAGCTGTATTCGTACCTGCCGAAATTTTGCAGATCACGGTATGAAATTCGTGCCAGTGGCTATGCTCCAAAGAAACCACCGCCATGGAATCGCGAGAAGACGAGACGAATGGAAGATGTACTGGGGCCGCACAATTCGTGAAGACGGACCGTCCAAGTATCCAAGTAACCGAGTATCTGATAACTGTAAGGAGCGCATGTGACTTAGTGGTTAGAGGTGCTCTTCGTCGCACACAAAGTCGATGGCACGATTTTGCGCTCCTAGCTCACCACGCCATCCATCCCTCCACGATCGGTAAAATGCTACCAGACTGATTTCATACTTGTCTGGGAGGATAGGCAGCACTGACTCGATACAGTGAGTCATTGCAAAGGACAGATATGAATTCATTCACCTCAAACGAAGTTAAAAATTGGAGACGAATGCATGGAGCATCTCTTAGGGATTCACCAACGCCGAGATTTCCTTTATCCTTATCTTCATATTTGATAAAGCCCGGTGATGTGCAAAACTTTGGCCCTTGCTAGCCACTGCTGTCAGCCCAACTGGGTTCAATGCCGATATATGTGCTTAGCAGGCCAAACCGTTGACGGTTAAATTGCTGACAGAATCGACACCTTGTAACGCAAAAAGAGTGCCAAGAACAGGAATCAGGGCAGTGCAGAGGTTAGCACCGCCCTCGGAAATGGTGAAACACTGGTTCAACTCCCGCCCAAGAACTATACTTTTGCAGATCACTGAACATTAATAAAATCAACAGAATTATGAGATCTGCTACAAGATAGTATGCTTATTTATTATTATTTATTTACACGACCGCTATAACAATTTTTATTGTACGAATCCCAATAAGTCAAGCGGTCAATTCGTTTTTCGTCTCCTTGAACAATGTAGAATAGTGGTCGGGCGTGTCTCCTTGCAGTCACGAGGACAGCCTGACTGTGGCGTTCCATAGGGCGTTCTTGCTGACTGCCGGAGAGTGCTAGGAATGAGGCTCGGCTCCACGTGCTCCGCGACGATCATCACAACCACACGGCCATGGCGTCCCTAATGTGGTACGCTTGAGCTCTGAAAAGGAGTAAGCCAAAACGTTAACTATCGTCTTTGAAGAAGATATACCAACCTAGCGCAAGCTCATATTGTTGACGGGCATGCAGAGCATGTGACCCCAGGCTGGGGTTGAACACGCGATCCACACACGCCGGGAGGCGCGTGCTAGCACTGCGCCATAGAGGCCGCCGTTTTGGCGGCCATATTTTCCCTAATTCGTGAGATTATTCTGATTTTTGACGCCGACGTCCAGAGAGAGCGAATCGGCCTCTCTTCACGCTGCGCCCCGCGCATGCGTGGTCGGCTCCTCGGAGGGAGGCATCAGAGGAGTCTCGGCGTCTCTCCGCTGGCCACACTCTCTTCGCCCACACTCTCCCTTCCACCCATTGCTTGTTTACGTTTTTTGCCGATGGTGTGCGCCAAGCGCTGGCGCACACCATCGGCAAAAAAGGTGCACTTTTTACTATGTATTTATTTATTTTGTACTATTCTTCGTAATGTACTATGCTTTATTTAGTTCGCTAGCAGCCAATACTGTCCTATTTTTATTTTTATAAATGATTTTCGCTTAGATCTCTTGTTATTCGACCGCTTTTGGCGGTGGTACGATGTCACAAATATATCCAGTGATGTAGAGCAATGTGCAAAAGTTTATGCGTTAGCCGGGACTCGAACCCACATCTCACTCTCTATTCGCGAGCCCGTGCTTTAACCTGCTGCACTAGTGACGCCCGTTTTGCCATCACTCTTCCGTTCAAGCGATGATGATTTTTTTATTTTCTATTTATTTACACGACCCGTCATCGCAATTTTACGATTGTGCGGATCCCAGCACTTCTAGCATTCCGCTGTTCCGTTTTCATCTTGAACGTCGTAGAAATACTGGTTGAGCGAGTCTCCTTGCAATCTCGAGAAAAGCCCGGCTGTGGCGTTGTGCCATAGGGCCTTCTTGCTGACTGCCGGAGAGTGCTGGAGGGTTGGTGCTCGGCTCCACGCGCTCCGCGGCGAGCATCACAACCACTCGGCCATTGCGCGCCCATATGGTGATTTTCAGAGTTCAAAAACACTGGAAAATCAGTTAGAAAAAGGTTTTCTATTTAGGAAATATTGGTACCTAAAAATCATAGACCCGCACGTGACACGATTGCGGGGCCACGTTTCGCCGCTTCAGAGGCTCAATGATCAGTGTTTCATTGGCAGGAATTGAGTGATGACAGGTGCACGAGGCACAGCTTCGCCGAAGAGTCCCATGTGGTCTAGTGGTTAGGATTCGTGGTTTTCACCCACGCGGCCCGGGTTCGATTCCCGGCATGGGAAGACGTTTTGTACGCGATCCAGTTCGTAGGATGCCCGGTGATCCCCGCGAAGCGAACTTACGTGCACCAGTATATGGCGCACGATGTGCGCGCCGAAATGGGTCCACCTGGCATTCGTTTTCTCCGAAAACGGAAAATCGGAATTGGAACACCTTCTTGGGGTGACACCCTATGCGCCACTTTTGTCGGAGTCGACCAGTCATGGATAAGGTCCGCAGTCACGGGCATTATATCAAATAGGCGTCCAGTATGCATTTGCAAGTGAGTATGCGCCGCACGGTTGACTCATTTTTGCATAGAGCTGGTCCGGAAATGGTCCGGATTTGCTTTCGTCTCCGACTCTTGAAATCTATTTATTTTTGCGTTTTGGCATTGAAAGAGTGATGGCGGAACAGGCGTCGGTAATGCAGTTGGTCAGCACGAGCCCCGGGAAGGGGTAAATGCGGGTTCGAGTCCCGCCTAACACAAAAAGTCTTTCACATCGCTCTGAATTATTGGGTATATTTATTTTTATTTCACACGACTAGTAGTCACAATTTTCTATGCAACTCGCATCACTTCTCGCATTCGATTCATTTCCACACGTTCGTCGTCTACAGAGGCTTCAAGCATTTCTCGTGTTATTTCGGTTGCTTCTTGAGGTTCACGTCTTCTTTCTGAATGCCGTCGAACGCTGATCGAGACGATTATCCTTACAGTTTTCTAAAATAATCGATCTAAGGTATCCCATTCAATGATAGCAAGAGAACGTCGCGGGATGGGATCGAACCAGCGTCTCGTTTGTCGCATCACTCTCTTCTGTACTGCATCACTAACCACTGCTTTATGCCACACCAATACTCTCCTATTCTAGAATCTTCAAACATTTCATTGATCCGTCTTCGTAGTGTTTTTTTCACGTGCGAATCTCCGTTCTGCTAGCATTTAATTCGTTTTTCCGTCTTCTTATAGAACGTCATAGAATTGGAATCTCGAGGATAGCCTGGCTGTGGCGTTCCATGGGGCATTGCTGTTGAACAGCGGAGGAAGTCGGAGGGTGAAGTTCAACTCCACACGCGCCGCGACACGCATCAAAACCGCTCGGCCATGGCGCCCCCTACTGTCTTATACCATTCTAAAACTATTCGTAAACAACTTCTCATCAGATACTCTCTTCTGACACATCTACAACGGCTAAACTCGAAAGGGAACTGTAGATGTTTTATAATACTCTGATGCTCCATAATGTTCTGTACATGCTCATATACTTTTTGTTCATAAAGATCTCATTTGCCAAGAAGCCTCCCAAATGATTCATGGTGGCGTCATTGTGGCTAGGAGGTGTTGCCGTGTGTCGGACTGCAAAGTACAGCGGGAGGTTCAACTCCCGGACAGGGCCACCCAAGCTGAACAAGAGTCGGACGTTTTCGCTCGGAAACCTCAGCTAAGGTAAATCATGCTACAAATGGCTACAATCTTGGTAGCTACTAACCGCAATATGGTAATCACCCCGTGATCCACAAGGGCCGGCGACTGCTGTCATGCGGCGCCGACCTGAAGAAGCTCTGGCAAGGCTTAGCTCAAGACTCCAACAACAAAACAGCTAAACAAGCACATATTCTTATGATAGGGTCTGCACAATTCATGAAGATGGACCGTTCAGGATCCAAGTAAGTGTACGCTAAGAAAACTTCGAGTGTACATTCGTAATTTTCCTTTCGCTTGTACAACGCACTTTGGAGATCTTGTCGGACGCCAAATCTAGCTTCAGAATCACGGAGAATTGTGCTATTGATCAGTGTCAGTACAGTCTAATGGAAAGCCATCCACAGACTTTAGTCAAGCAAGTGATGCACTTGAAGTGTGAAACAATTTATTTTGCTGCTACTGCTCACTGAGAAGGCTTCATTCAAAACAAGCGCGGTGTTGAAATTGCCGAAATCGGAGCTTTCGAACGGCTGCTAAAATTCTGTCAAAGTAGCTGTCTTCAGCGAAAAAGTCCTCTGAAAAGTCATGAACCGAAAACGACTTTCACCGTCTGCGAAAGATTGAAGGTGGAATCAAATCAACGATAATAAGAGGAATGCGATTACGAACACACAATGCACATGCATTGGAATGGTGAAGAAGCTGTATAGATGGATACCTTATCAATTGGATGAATGATAGCAAGGCAGTCGTCTCGGTAGAGAAGAACGACCCATTTTCAGCCGGCGACGTCACTAAAGAGGTTGGATTTTGATGATACTTTCGAGTCGACTGTTGCTAAACCTCGCTAGAAACATTCGATATGGCTTGTGAGAATTCTCAAAGCCTTTTCGAAGTTGATACGTCAGTGGCTCACTTACGTTTCGGCGGTGTCGTCTACTTTATGAGAGCCACTCCCCCCACACTGATCCTTATTCATGACAGGGATGGGAAGACGTTTTGTTGATGTCACGTCATTTCTGTTATCACCATTTTCTCAGTCGGTGGCTTACGGCTGGTAGTGTCCACCTATTCATGTGTACGTGCCTAAATATTCGTTATCAGCCGTAAGCCATCGACTGAGAAAGTACTGAACTCATATATCACCTGCTACCAAAAAAACCTCTCTCCGTCCCTGCTATAAAGTAGAGCTCCATGTGGGACGTGTGGCTCTAATGAAGAGGCGATAGCGCTGAAACGTTCGTATACTACCGACGTGTCGACTTTGAAAAAACTTTATACACCCTCACAAACTATTTTGGTGTCAAACCATCTCCAAAACGGACTCTATCAAGAGATCAAGAAGTGATCGTGGTGGCCCTTTGGCTTTTTACAGGTGGGTGCATCGATTGAAACGCCTTGCATCTTTTGACTAAACGACCACAGTAGAGCGGAAGTATTGCTAAGCAGTCGATGAAGCTCTGTGGGAAGTTACCTCAATTTCCAGACAGTGCTCCAGCCTCGCACTGCACACTGAACAGGACTCCATTGTTGAATGTGGAAAGATTTGAGCCGGAGAGATTCTCTATTTGCCTAGGCATCCTTATCCAAATCTCTCGCTAACTACCGCTAGTGTCTCAAGATCCTTGAGAAATACTACCTGGGAACGTCTCCCACGACTACGCCCCTGCTACAGAAAACCCTTTCGAATGGCTTGTCGCCTCAAGAACTTCCTAAATTCTCTGCTACTGTGATAGCTAGGTTTGTAGTTTGTTTGGTGATATGTGAACTCAAGCGGCTTTTTTTTCGAAAATATCAACGTTCAGCTTGGCTTTTCGATCGTATTACACCAGTTTTCCCATGAAAAGAGAAGGTGTCACTTAAGTGGGTTGTTTACTAGACAACAAGGGTTGTTTACAAGTGTTTGTGAGTAGCCGGTTCATATCTTTATTCTCGTAGTTCTGCTCCAAGTACTCTTAGTGTGCTCGTATTGCTTGATGCCCAACAGACCTATTGACCTTAGTCTCAGAGGCTATGGCATGTGATTTATTTACGGCAGTCGACTATAGTAGGTGATTGAGATGCGATGCCGCGCGGCGTGGCCTAAAGGGTTTAGGACTCTGCATAGTCGTCGATAAAGTCTTCGTTTGGAGTCTGCTCTCCCATCGCACCTCAGTTTTCCATGGAGTCCCAGGTCGTCCATCCCCATAAGTCTTTGAATTTCTCCGATCCGTAAATCTACGTAGGCTGTCGCTCTCATACTCATTCAAGCCAATAATCATATCATTGGGTAGAAAAACGATCATCGTAATTGAAAGAAGTGACATGAGAGGTTTACCTTTCTTTTTGAAAAACTGGTATCCGATCAGGTGATGAGTTTTCTTCATATCCAGTGACTCTTTCCACTGATTTTTTCCTCTCTTTCCCATACACAGTTTTCTATTACTAATTTTTGTACGACAAGAATTACCAATCAACCGTTTTTTTTCAACTAGTTGACTTCCGCGAACCCAAACGGGGCGTGTCCGCCAGCGATCAGTGTCGCCGACCGCAGTACTACTTTTCGTTGCGAGACCGCACGCCAACCTGTCCAAAACTTAGCTGCCGGTCTTGCACGAAAAGTAGTACCGTAGTTGGCGACTAATCGGTGCAGAGGAGGTGGAGTCGCCCGCACGCTGGCGAACCCACCTAGTTAGGGTCCACGGAAGTCAACCGGTTAATTCTTGGGGACCATGTGCTACGGAACGTACCATGCACGTCGCGCGACGTCGCACCTCACTCGGCTGTTGTAATGGCAACGTCGCGTCTCGTGGCAGCGCAGGCAGGCGACATCCGCAGGTCAATCGCTTCTAACCGCATACGAGCTTTTCAAAATGAAAGGTAGACCTCCCATGTCTGGATGACGCTTGCCTGTAACTGTTTCGGAACGGCCAGCGCGGCGCCTCCTGCTCTAAATGGCGGTACTCAAAGAGTTCGGTGGTCTGATGTTACAACTACATATCCGATAATAGTGAGTGATTTGCGAAACTTGACGTTGGGGCGGGAGTTGAACCCACGTCTCATCACCGGCGCAACTCCTGTTCTCTTATCGCTGTTCCTAAGCCCTGAAAAGGTGAGGTGCGGGTTCAAATTCGGCCCGACGTGCGAAGTTTCGCATATCACTCACCACGTATTCTTTCCGTTTATCATTATTTATTTCATCTACACGGCTCATCACAATTTTCAGTGTGTGAATCCTAGTACTTCTGGCATTTGATTCGTTTCTCATCTTCTTCTTTGATGACTCAGAATACTGCTTGAGCAGGTCTCATTGCAATCTCGAGGATAGCCTGGCTGTACCGTTCCTGTTGACTGCCGGAGAGTGCGGGGAAGGTGAAGCTCGGCTTAGCGCGCGCTGCGGCGGGCAGCACAACCACTCGGCCACGGCGCCTCCGAATAGTGTTTTACTTTGATTTTTGGTCTACAGAAATGTGTGGTGAAGTCGATTCATAGGGCCTTCAGTCGTCTTCTGATATCCATTCATATCTCATCATAGAGTTCAGTTCACCTGTCAGAACAGAGTCTCGAATTTCTCAACTGCCGATTTATTTTATCTGCAATTTCATCACGTCTTTCTTTCATTCCAACTGCTCTGGGGGCCCCAAATGTTTTTCTTTTCAGTATTTATGGATATTCATGACTCACTGGAATACAAGACAACATTAGGATTCAATAAATATCAACATTTACATAAAAACCCAATCTGTAAGAAGCATCCAGAAAGTCCTGATAGAATAGAAATTTGTCGATCAGTTCTTCAACAAAGCGGCTTGATACGAGAATGCCAAGAAGTAAATGTAAGTTCCTAGAATTTGTAAGAATTCTTCATTTTACAGCTTTGATAGCAACGTTATGACGTCATAAATATCATATCTAAGAATCGTAACCCTTTCGGGACCGTAGACCCACGGCCTCTGCGTCTCCCCGATACCTAACTTGCCATTGTTAAACGCAGCACGCTGACAGCTCGAGATGCAGAAGAGGTGAAGCATAGCATATAGAGGTGCCAATCAGAGATGCGGAGGTCATGGGTCCCTGGTCC